ACTCTACAGAGCCATGATCGGTAGTCTCCTCTATCTCACTGCTAGCCGACCAGACTTGTGTCTGAGTGTTGGAATTTGTGCTCGATACCAGGCAGCTCCCAAAGAATCACACCTAAAGGCGGTAAAACGTATCATCAAATATGTCAAAGGGACACTCGATTTTGGACTTCATTATACCTTTGAAACTAATGTAAATCTTGCAGGATATTGTGATGCAGATTGGGCAGGTTGCGTTGATGATCGGAGAAGCACCTCTGGAGGCTGTTTCTTTCTAGGAAACAACATGGTGTCTTGGCACAGCAAGAAACAAAACTGTGTGTCTCTCTCAACAGCTGAAGCAGAGTACATTGCTTTGGGGAGTTGTTGCACTCAGCTTCTCTGGATGAGACAAATGCTGGTCGACTATGGTATTAAATCGGATCCCTTATTAGTCCATTGTGACAACATGAGTGCCATAAATCTGTCTAAAAATCCTGTGCAACACTCTCGTACTAAGCATGTTGATCTTAGACACCACTTTGTTCGTGAGTTAGTTGAGTTAAAACTTGTGGTCATTGAACATGTTTCTTCTGAGAATCAACTTGCTGATATTTTCACAAAGCCTCTTGATTTTAATAGCTTTTTGGGTCTCCGAAAAGCTCNCTCTCGTACTAAGCATGTTGATCTTAGACACCACTTTGTTCGTGAGTTAGTTGAGTTAAAACTTGTGGTCATTGAACATGTTTCTTCTGAGAATCAACTTGCTGATATTTTCACAAAGCCTCTTGATTTTAATAGCTTTTTGGGTCTCCGAAAAGCTCTTGGAATCGTTGATCTTCAGCAATGAAGGAAGCTGTTCTGATGAGAAGGTAAGTCCGTATTGAAATCGCATTTGTCTAAGGTACCTTCTCCCCTAAAAAACTTTATAGTAACAATTTATCTAGTTAGATTCGAGAGACTGTCTTACAAGTTGTCACAATCACACTGTCTCATAGTGAAGGACACTCACTTTGGATCAGGATGCTACAACATTTTGACACTGAGGAATGATCACTGTCTGGAGTGGATGGAGAAAACACTAGTCATGTCATGTGTAACACATCCGACAATGTGTGTTACACAATGAACTCCTGATTTCATAGGAGTAAGGCCTAACATGATGAGCACTCGTTCTGAATCAGGGTGCCACAACACTTTGTCTTTTGGTGACGATCACTGCTTTGATTAGGCAGAGACTGTTGTCTCTGAAGAGTAAAGTTAAGAAGTAGAAGAAGGATCATTCAAAAGGCCTGAAGTGATAAGCACTCATCATGGAATAGGATATCACCATACTTTACGTCTATGTTGATCACTGTTTTGATCAGGCAGGAACTGAAATATGTTCTTGTTGCTCATACTAATAAAAAAAAAAAAAAAATTTTACTTGAAAAAGATTCACTGAAGTTGTAGAGGTGAACATCAAATAGACATGACTGGTGGTTTCAGAAGTGTGTGAGTGTGAGTAACTTGTGAGATAGGAGCTTGGTTATCTAGCTAGATGAATCCATTTGTGACAGCTACTCGGCTGAGAAATAGCTACAGATTGGAGTTACTATAATGATTTATATTCGTTTGTTCTTTTTTTTTATGGTTACCTAGACATATGCGAAACTAGATGTGGACTTGCAATCTTTTTGGAACAGTAGCTAAGAGCATGTAAATAGATTATCTGGCAAATGTTAGTGCCATAATAAAGTTGATTCTTAGAATAGGTATGTTTGATTAAGACTAGAAGATCTCATTGACCGAATGAATGTGTCTTGCTTAGAATGTTTCTCATGAAAAGATTATGATTGAAAGGAATGAATTTGATTGCAAGATCTTTTGGGCCTGTTACTTTTTCAATCACTAATGGACTAATGGGCTTGTCAAAAGTGTGTGTTGTTCCTTTTATCTCTTATTTGCCTTCTTAGGTCATCTCGCCGCCGTACAATTTCACAATCATCTCTCATCTCTCTCGACATGCATAACCGAACACGATCTCGTCGAAGCACCTCCGGGTCTCCGCAAGCTTCTTCCTCCGATCCAGCCTCCAGAACCCCGAAGAAGAGATCTCGCCCAGAAGCTGGTGAATCAAGTCGGCGTCGATCGTGTGAATCTATCTCTTTTCTTCCCAAAGAACCACGATATGATGAAGGTCGCCGATTGTTCGAGGAGACACTCCTAGAAGACCCTGAGAGTTATCAACCTCCGGCTGAGCCGTACAGTCCTCTGTTTGCAACCGAGGAAGGTTATCAACGATACCTGAAGTTTGCCGATAAGAAGTTCATCGATCATCAGTATCTCCCTCTTGATGATGAGAAGCTGCAGGAAGTCAAAAATGTTGTGGTTCATTCTGGGATGATCTACACAGCCATTGATGGTGAGCCGTATGTTCCTGATCTTGTGTGGGAGTTCTTAGCGAATCTCCAAGATGCTACGAATGTCCGTAATGGTGGTGGAGTGGCTGTCTATGTGCGTGGAGCCATGTATGAGGTATCTCCGAGCATGATTGATCTTATGTATGCTCTGAGCCCCGGAGATCCTAACTACGATATGTACTCCGAGAATCTAGATACTGTGGTCACATTTCTCACTAAGAGACGTCATCAAAGGTGGGAAGGAATGTGCTCAAAACTTCTCACTTCAGACAATCAAGTGTTGTACAAACTCTGTTGTACAAATTAGATGCCTACAATGAACTACACACGCATGCATCCAGATCGCCTCAGGTTTCTCTACGCGCTTCATCACAACAAGCGAGCTGACTTTGGTGTTATTGCATATGAACAGCTCATGGATATGGCTCACTCAGCTGATGATCGTAAGCGAAGAATTGGGTTTCCTTCTCTCATTCATCAGTTGTTGCACTTTCAGCGGGTTGTACCTCGTCGTGAAAGAGATGAAGAGCTCACCGGACATCCCACTGCTCTTGTCAAAGATGGTAAAGCTGGCAGAGGTATAGGGGGAGTCAGCAAACCACCTAATCTGGTCGACGATCTTCAGAAGGTTATCAATGACATCCGAGCAATTCAACTTCGCAGTCGTCGTAAGTGTTTTTCCTCTCCTTATCTTTTATTATCTCACATGATTGTTTTATCTAATGATGCACTCAAGCAGGGGGAGAGTATGTTGGGGAGCCAGTGCATATCATTGATAGCAGTGATGAGGAGGAGGAGGAGTAGTATCTCTAGACAGTTTCTAGGTTGCCGTATGATGTTTGTTTTGGTTTCAATTATGCAGTGTGTTTTGAACTTTCTAGAAACTAATTGGTGTGTATTCATGAATGATCTAGACTCGTTTCCTCAATGAATGCTTTTGATTTCTGATTTACTGTGTGTGTCTTGGTGCAAGTGCTGTGCCTGTAGTGTCTGGGTGTGTGTGTTTCATGACAGGTGCTTGAGGTGTCACATTAAGATAAAAAGGGGGAGAATGTAAGCTCAGGTTGCTGAGCATTACGATTGGAGTGTTACACGGACAAGAGGTTGTGTTACACTCAAGTGAGCTCAAGTGTAGTTGAGTGGTAAAAGGCTAAGGTGTCACACAACGTGGAGCGAGTGTTACACCAGGAGCGAAATACAAGGAGCCGTTCAGAAGATAATGACTCAAGATTCTAGGATATTTGTTAGAGAATAAACAAGAAGATATCGGGAGAATCTGTGCTTATCACAATAGGATACGTAAGTATATATTGGTGATAGAGTTCATTAGTTAGGTTACGGCTTTGGGAATTAGTATTGGTTATCGAGCTTGAGTGTTAAAGCTGCGATTCTGAGTAAGCAAGTGGTGAGGTTTGTCTCGACCACTGTGCATTGGATAGATTAAGAATTGGTCCGTCTCAAGTCAAGTTGTGACGTTGAGTAATCCGGATTAAACAGATCTTGTAGGATTGTTTAAGTGATTCTTAATAAAGCAAGTTAGTTTTCTTGGATTTGCGCGAGTTGCTCTTTTGTGGTGTCCATACGAAATTACAGTTATTGCGGCTATGTGAGAGGAGGCTGCGTGTTGGGCAGAGGTGGGTTATGTCTTAGTTTTTTTTTTCCTTTGAAAGGATATAGATATAGATCGTCAATGATGGTACAATGAAATATACTTATTTTCTTTTCAGATTTAGATTTCTCCCAACTATGGCATAATAATTCGTCTCCTAACTTATAGAAAATCATCTGGTTGAATAAAAATGATTCGTGTCCTAACATATTAAAATCAGGGAAAAGAAAGGGAGCTAACAATTTTGAGCTTGCCTACCTCCTCATTTGGCCTGTAGCACAAAAGGAGCAGCCCAAAAAATGGGAACAAATTATTTTCAGAATTTGGAAGAACATGGGAAGCGATCACGTAATTTCAAAACTGTATATAATGAAGAAGATGACTATTTCTAATATAGGGGATATAGCTATGAGTTTTTATAATACTAATCGAATTTTGATATGTATATATATATATATTATAACGTGATTATTAATATATAATTTAGTTAGATTATAAAATCTTAGATACACAAATATATAGACCGTCTATATGTATATTTCTAATATATATTTTTTTGGATAACTAATTTATAATTAACAATAGTTCCATTTTCATAGATAAGTTTTACTTTTTCTAATATTTATTAATTTATAGTTTTTTCAATTACCTGACCTAAGTAACCTAAAGTGTAAAGATGCTACTTCTGTTTTTACATTTATAATAAAAGCAAACAATTTCTCGCAGGAATTTTTATTTTAGATTTTCAATATTGATCCTTTAACATAGTATATACTGGTTTTTATTAATAAAAACATATATCTTTGATTAAAATTTATTATTATTCAATTGTAGGTTTGATTAAAAAATCAAATACAAATTATTTTTGATATAAAATGTAAATTTTATAACTGCATAAGATGGGACTTATTTTATATTAACCAAGATTTGCTCTACATATTGGGCAGGTTAAGTTGACCTTGATCCAGCCTAAAATGTATTGATGATGATAAGAATAGTTGCAAAGCAAAGAATTAATTTCTCCATCGGTGCCAAGCTCGCGGTAGCAAATAGGGCATGAAATGCTCTTTGCTGGTCATGAATCGTCTTCTGTTGTTTCGAAAGTCGTTTGTATAGGCGTCGAGATCAAGTCTTCTCAAAGTTTGGGGGTTGAGATCAGTTAGCTTAACAATTATGTCAAGATCTGTACATGTGGCATCTCCGAGAGTTGGAATAACGTCTGCAACATAATCAGAAGTCTCATCTATAATCAGTGGCACTGAGTTGTAGTTGATTCGTGATACTCAAGTATGCACTACATATCGCTCCACGTCTTGCTATTCAAGTGGCCATTACTTGATGTCTGTAGTGCAATGGCTATTATGATTTTTCTTTGTTGGGTATTGGGCCTCTTGATCTTCATGGTTAGGGTTCTTTTAGGAGATGAGGAAGCTGTTTTCATTTTGCAGAACGTGGATTATAAGGTGATGATGGATTCATTGTTAGGATTTTATTTGTGTTTTTGGTTGAAATCAGATATGGGGGGTTTATATGGTTGAGGAATATTTAATGTAGAGAGGGTGTAATGGTTTCAAACCCCCCAAAATTTCATCAGTGGAAAAATAAATTTTTGTTGACTTTTTCTTTAATTAGGACGACTTATTTTATAAAATGTAAAGTTCATTAATGTATTAGTGGTTTATCCGCGCTACGTGCGGAATGTCTAATAATTGTTCAACCATATGTCTAGTATGTGTTGATGTTAATATATTGGGAATTAGGTCTCGGATTTTGTGGTGCTGAAATGGTGGTCAACATTGTTGTTTACTTGAGTAGTCTTTAGGTGGTCTTAACTTATGTAAGCAATGACTTATGGTTTTTGAGTTAGTGGTTAGTACATTGATTTGAGGAGAAAGTCTCGAATGCTACTGACCAAATATATATTTGTAAAGAAGTTGTATAATTTGTGTTATGGCTGTAGGATTTTTATATATTTGTAAGGTAGATAACTTAATGCAATTGATGGAGTTTATTGAAGTATATTGTCTATTCGATTGTCTAATCTTATTGTGTTATTGTTGTGCATAAATGTGAAGTAGTGTCTTTTGGGATTGACGTTTTATGTTCCCTATAAGTATTACATTAGTGTTAAAAAATACATATTTAATTTTGTTTGGGTTGTTGAATGAATAGTGTAAAGGTTTTTGGTTAAATGGTTAGGGGGTTGTGTTTTGAGTAATATTTCACTATGTGCCAAATATTCAGACAACTGTTGAACTTATTATTGTTCGGATTCCTTTTTATCTATTGAATATTTTTTGTGTAAAAATTTTAGTTGCTCACTAAAACACATTTTATTGGTAAATATTTGTGATAAAATAGAGTTATAAAATAATTTATTTTAATATTAAAAATGAAAAAGAAGATATTCTATTGTAAATTTAGAGTATGGAATATATATTATGTTTTAATAAATTTGTTTTTTAATCAGATGAATTAAAATTTTCATAAAATATAGATATAGTTATAGTTTTTTGGTATAAAATCGAAGAAACTGAAAAACGCTAATATATAAATCAAACCAAATCAAAGTAGATACGATATTAATATAATAGCTAATTTTTATAAACCGAAATACCCAAAAACCAAAGTGAAACCGAACCAACATCCAGATTGAATACTCTTTCTTTGTCTTCTTTTTTGAAACAAAACATTTTGTATGTCACTCTATTGATTTTACTTGTGTGTTCCTTAATTTATTTATTTTGAGTTTTATATGTTTATTTCATGATCAGTTCACTATCGCATTATGTGTCATATTTTATTATGATATTTATCTATAGTTTGTACCCCAAATCTCTAATTACAAATTTATAATTATATTGTTATTGTACGTATTTTCATTGTTGTGGTAAAATATTTATTTTATGTTGTTGTTTTACATTTTAAAAGTAATTATGTAATGTGAAATAATGCTTTACTACCTTTAGTTTGTATATTCTTTTGAAGTTTGTATTGTCTAGTGAATTATTTTTTGGGTACCATTTTCATTGTAAACAATTTTTTTTTTTTGTATTAGTATAGCTTGTATTATCATTTTGTACTATTTTTTTGTGAAGAGAAAAAAAAATAATGGAAATATTAGTAAGTTAGTAGAACTTTAAATTAAATGTTGAATAAATGTTTTTAAAAAAAATTACATAACTGTTTGAAGATAAATATCATGTTAGATTAATTAATTCAATTTGTCATTGACTGTTTTTTTAAAATTTTTTTTTGTAAACTATGTTTTATAAACCTCATGGGCTAAAACAGAGTACGATAAAAGGCACAAGTACATGACCGACTAAAAAGTACAGCTCAAGTTTACACGTGTCAGTCCTTTCTGTAATCTCTACAACGGTGATTTTTGGTGTTGACACGAAACTTGCTTCACCGCCGATGAGGGTGATGTTCGCCAAAGGTTTGCTTCTCCCCTCAAACCACAACTAATTTGGTGTGGGAAACCGAAATTCACATCTGTCGATTTTCGTTAAATATGGAAACTTAGGAAAACCCTAATTTTCCAGAGGAACCAGATCTCTGCGAAAGCCAACGACAAGTAACAAAATAAATGCGGAAAATATGAAAAACGCAATAAAACGAATTTATAAAGAAAGTCGATCTTATTTCCGATTCGCGTAAGAGCTTTGCGATCATTACAAGGAATTACAAAGGTTTTGGCCGCAGGGGCCATCAGCGAGTTACAAACATAAAACCTTAGATCTAGTCGAGTCGCAGCTTGATAACGAAAGACGGAAAAAGATAGGAAAAAAGGTTTGATTGATTTCAGACTGAACCTTATGAAAGGCTGCCTACGTACCCCTTTCGAGGATTAAGTCGAACGTAGTTCAGTTGGTAGAGCTGGACCAGAGATCGAACTGCCTGGGCGAGTTCGTCTAGTAATTGAGCGCCAGTCATAGAAACCGAACTTGTCGAGAAAAAGCCTAAGTTTCCAAGTGCGGAAAATTCTAAGTCTAGAAAAGTTGTAAAAGTCTCAGATGAGAGCTCTGGATTTCGCCCCCTTGCTTCTGCCCTATGCCTCTTTCTTATATACTCCCTTCCTAGGCGGTTTAGTCTTTCCATTTCGCCCGAAACCGAATATATCGGGAATTTTCCATTTCTGTCGATCATTCCTTTTCTTCCGCGGAAATCTTCTATTTATCTTCAAACTTGCCTTTTGTCTTCTGTCTGCGAGTAAACCATCAAAACGTTATCGTATCTTCGGGTTTGATTTCGTTAATATCGCGAGATGGGTTTTTATCGTGTTTTAGGACCTTTCCGGCCGTTTTACGATAAAAACCGTTTTACGACTTTATACGAGACCGTTTCCTAATCCGATGCCGTTTTGACGATTTTCTCGACGTTTTTTATCATTAAAAATGCGTTTTTTATGATCTTAACGAAAAACCTGCTGGCGAACTAGTTGGGAGCCTTCTAGTTCGCCTGCTGGCGAACTAAGCCAGCTTGGCTTAGTGTTGGGGTCAAAATCGGTACGACGGAATCAATAGCCAAAATTCCCCGCAAACGCGTAAACGCAACAGTTTTATGAATCTCGAGAATCATTTTATAAAACTCGAGAGATCGTTTTATAAAACTCGAGAGATCGTTTTATAAAACTCGAGAGATCGTTTTATAAAAACTCGAAGATCGTTTTATAAAAACTCGAAGATCGTTTTATAAAACTCGAGAGATCGTTTTATAAAACTCGAGAGATCGTTTTATAAAACTCGAAGATCGTTTTATAAAACTCGAAGATCGTTTTATAAAAACTCGAAGATCGTTTTATAAAACTCGAAGATCGTTTTATAAAAACTCGAAGATCGTTTTATAAAAACTCGAAGATCGTTTTATAAAAACTCGAGAAACTCGTTTTATAAAACTCGAGAACTCGTTTTGCAAAACCGCGAAAAACCGAAACCGCCGCAGAACGCGATCTAGTCACGACTAGATCGCCTGCTGGCGAT